AAATTACAGAGAAACCAGCTTCTCCTTTTTCCAGTTCTGAGAGGGTGCTGGGGGAAGGAATACTGGTGGGGGAGGACAGGAGGTAAAAGGGGATTGTGGCTGGGATCTCCTATGTGATCTGTGTATAGATGTCAACCCATTACCGTAGCTGGGCAGCACAAACCAGCCCAGGCCACTTTTGCCCCATTTTCATACTTACTTCTTGTTAGGAGACTCACAGCACAGGGGAAATGTGTGAGATGAGCAATCACCCGAGCAATGAATGTTTTCTGTGTGAAGCAAAATACCTCATAAATGCACCATTTCTTAGGAATGGATTTTTGGTTGTTTGGTCATCTGCTGGTCGAGGAAAACAAGGTGTGATAACACAGTCCATTTTAGATTAATGTTTTGTATTCCTAAATGGTGTCATTGTACCTGTGAAGTAAATGAGTAATATCCCTAATCAAAGGCATTTTTTTTCAATAGTCAGTTCGGTTATTTTTGCAAAAGCAGTTCCACTATACACTCAGTAGTGCAGCTTCACTGATATCAGGGAATCACCTCCACAATGTGGCACACAATACAGAAGAAGCACATTTGTGTGTCATACCAAAGGAGGAAATTACAGTGTTGAAGTTAAAAAGCTCAGATTTAGCCTGGCATACATTTCCCCCCTTCCACAGCTTCTCCCATACCTTGTTCTGGGTGAGTTACTGCTCACCTGGAACCTACAGGCAACCTTGCAACAGGTGACACAACACCAGCTTCCCTTGGCCAGAGCATAATTAGTCTTCTCTGGGGGAAGAAAGAGCTGCAGAGAGGGGTGTTGAGGGGCAGAGCTCCAGTCAAACTGATCCCACCTGTAGGAGATCAGGCGCTGCCAACAATGAGTGTTAGAACAACCCTGTAACACAGGATAACTTGGAATGAAAGGGGCCTTGGGGGCCTCAGATAAAGATGAGCTCTGAGATCAACCCTTGTTGCTCACGGCTTGAGAAAGACAGGACTTGGAAACCTCTGAGATGGAGCCTGCACAACCTCTCTGGGCAACCTGCTCCACTTCAGGCTTCTTCTGGTGGGGAACAAGTTCCCCTTATGTCTGGTCTTAACCTCTTGTTTCAATCTATGCCTGTTTTCCCTCTTCACCTTGCCATGCACCCCTGAGGAGCCCGTCTCCTTCACCTCAGTGAGCTCCCTGTAGGTGTGGGAAGGTGGGTGCTAGATCCTTCTAAAGCCTTCTCTTTTCATCAGCTGTCTTAAGTGGGACAGGTAAATCTCAAGAAGCCATTGCCACTTTCTATTTTATTCAAATAGGACTCAGTGAAATTCCTATCCCATGGATATAAATAAATCCATTATTAACTAAGTAATTGTTTTCCTGTTGTATTGAAATAAAGTAACATCTTCTCTCCCTTCTTCTTCATAAAACAGAAAAAAGAAAATTTAGGAGAGAATCTTCTTCTGCATCTCAAAGTCCCTTTTATATTGTCTGTCCAGCCAGCGCAGATCAGAAATGGGGCTGCGTTTCCTCTGTGCCCAGGGAGTGACAGTCTCTTTACCCAGGGGATGCACCCTTGGTCAGAAAAACGATCCATCTAGTCTGGAACCTACACTGCCTCCTAAACTAGAAGGGATCCTCTAAATAGTAGTCTATGTACCCATGACTAAAACCTACAGTGCTGCACAGAGGCATTTAGATCACAACTACATGGGAACCCCTAATCCTGGCATCTCCTGTCTTTGTAACTGGAATGTTTTTTCAATAGTTTTTTTTTAGATCCTGTATTAATATTAATATGCCAATGAATTGTGTAACACAAAGAGTGGCAGTTGCAGTATCTCCTCGTGATCTAGAAAAGAGGTGGGGGAGCAACATTTGAAGGTGACACCAAGTTATCCAGGTTAGGCTGAGCCAATGGAGAGAAAAGAATTCCCAGAAGTTCTGTCCAGTCTGAGCATGTGGGCAGTGGGACAATAAGGCTGAGCTGGTGCTCAGCAATGCAAAATCATGTCCAGGGGATGGACTGACCTGAAGCCCTCTGCCCAGTGCTTGGTCCTAAGTCACAGACAGCAAAGTCAGGGAAAGACTGGGACATTCACCTGGAAGCTCAATGTAAACAGTGGTCAAATCACAAACAGGCTTCAGAATGGGATGGAAAATAGGCTCAATATTATGACATTTAGTGCCATTGAGGTTTAGGGATTCCCCTGGAATACTGGATCTGGTCCTGGTCAGCCTAATGCTCTGCAGAGACCTCCTCAGAAGAGCTGATTTAGCTTAGGGAGCTTACTCAGACCTCTTTCAGACAAGAGCAAGCTCTGGCTCTCTCCTAGGAGATATTCCAAGGATCTCACAATAGATTACTGTTCTCCACCATCCTTCAGAATAACGTGGTTTTCTCCAGTAAAACAGAGGCTAATGTTAGCCCTTTATCAAGACACAGAAATCTAAGATTTGATTAGTGAAAATTGTTAGGGAAGTTGGGAAAAAACCCAAACAAATGAAGACTGAGGAAGCTGTTTGATTTACACAGGGAACAACCAGAACTATACAAGCTAAGGAAGCCAAGACCAGGTAGACCAGGCATCTCTCCTGACTTTTTCATAGTAAGACAGCAAAACCCACCAGTGACACAGAAAGGCAGGGGATGAGAGGAGAGGAAGGCTGTTCCACAGAATGAGGAGATGAAGCTTCACTACCTTGACAGTCTTGCAGAATTAAAGAAAATGTCATCCACTGCACAGCTGATGAGACTGCCAGCAGTTAGGATAGAAGGGTTTAAACATGAGCAGCCTCAGGGCTTGGGTAGCTGTGCTTCAGATTATGGCTTAAATTTCTTCATATAGAAGCTGGATTCTCTTATTTGCCATTCTTCCTCCACCAATGAGCAGTTTATTCACTGGTTACCCACTCACACACCTTCTGTGTTTCTCTCTGAGGTGTCTGGTCCTGGCTTCCTTCCTTCCTCCTTCCAGAGGCAAAATATCCCACCTGCTGGATGGGTCCTTGTGATCTCCTCAGCCATTTCTGGGTGGGAATACAGTTGCCAGCTGTGCAGGAGGAAAGGAGACCACAGGGACAAGTCTGAGTGTGCACTTTGGAGCAAACGATGAGCCAGATTGTTGTGAGTGAAAGGCTGCCCATCATCTCCCTTTCCAGTGGGGTCCCTGCCAGGCCATCACTGCAGACACACACCATAATATCCTGGGTGAAAAACAGTGCTGAAACAAAACAGTGCACACGCTCATTTACAACATCCTACTGACCCTGGGGTGCATCAGCTGCACCTGAGCTGTACCTGGCAGAAATCTGTATAACCTGTTTTTACATGCACTGGGAGATGAGGATGCTCAGGAGTGTGATGCTCTTCCTCACCATCCTCACTGCTAGAGAATTTCTCTGGTGTAACTTGATTACTTTTTGTCATGTCTTATCTACTCTATGGCCAACAAATCTAGATAAAGAATTTCCCCCCATTTACTGCTCTCCTTAAGGCATTGGCCCAAATATCTGGGATGCAGAACCACATCAAGATGTGACCACACCATCAGTACTGTGAAGGTTGTCTCCCTCTTATCTGAAAGGCTTTTGGGATCTTCTTGGCTACACCTTTTCCTGCAGTTTGGCTCAAGAAGCATGGGATGCTCAGAGCTACTCAGCAAACAGCCCCACCAGCCCACATCCTGCTCCCTACGTCCTTCTCTTCTCACTGCACATCCTCTTTTAAAAGGGCCACAACTGCTCCCAGCTGCAAAAGCACACCTACCACTCACCTCTCCCTCCCAGCTCCCTTCAGCTGAGGTGCTCCCTGTATTTTACAGCTATTACAGACCCCACAGTCTTCAGGGTAGGCACCTGCATCAGCACTGGCAGTGGAAATCAGAGGGGATCTCACATTTTGCCTGTTTGAAAACTCCCTCCAAGTGTATTTGGGATAGGTCTGCCCAGTCCCTTCTTGACCCCCAGCACACACACACACACACACACACACACTGCTGTGTGGCCCATATAGTTTCTCTTGTACCTGCACCACCTGTTTCCTTGTCATAGAAGGAAATCTGGTGGATTTGCAAAAAGGCAGATCATATCGAGCCTCATCTAATTTTTAAACTTCATGGAAATATAAATCACCTGATTGGTTGCTTTAGTCTTTTCTTACGAATCACAGGGATGGTTGCTTCTAGATTGCTTCTAACTCCCTGGATCCACAATTCCCTGCCCCTACTTTTAACAGAATCTTTGTGTTTGTCCTCTTCTTGTCTTCTTTAAAAAAGGTACTAAGCTTTCTGAGCTTCTCAGCATCACCTACCAATTTTCCTACCCATAGAGTAATTCTTCCCTCGGTTTCCCTTTTTGTTACAATGAAAAATGTCCTTAAAATGCCTTATTAGTATAAGCAAAGAATAGAAGTATTTTATTTTGTGCTTTAGACTTTCTGATTTTGTCTCTGTACACTCATGCTGAGGGTTTTTTTAATGTTCATTTTTAGATATTTGACCTAGTTTCTATGTTCTGTACACTCCCTTCTTGCACTTGAACTCATTGAAGAGCTTGTGATTTCACAAATATCTCCTATGCATTTTCTATCCTCTCTACATACTGGGAGATTTTGTAATTCTGTGGCTACTGTCTTTTTCTTTTTTTTTTTTTGTTTTAATTTTTATGAACCATCAGCTCCTTCTGGAGCTCTTTTCTCCCATGGATTTGATTGCCAGGGGAATTTACCTGCCAATATCCTCCATGTTCATTAAAGTATGCTGCCTTCAGGTTGATGTTGTTCTTCCTTCATTGTCTGAGGCTTACAAATCCTGTAAATCTCTTACCAACATTGTTCTCCACCTTCACACTCCCCAGCTGTTTCTCTCCCGTGGTAGGAACTCCAGGATTCCAGGATCACCACCTGGGAAGTTGCTTTCTGTAGTGCTGTATGACAAAATGCCAGTGACACTTGCTGAGCGGGCTGTGCCCTAGTTTATCATGTTCTTTAGAACTATGAGAGTAATTATAGACCCCCCCAAACCAATCAACCCTGTTTTTATTTAAATTATTCTGCTATCTGCTCAAGAAAGACCCTCATCTGTCTGAGTCTCTTAGTTAGGGGAAAGAAGAAGAATGTAATGGACGCGATTTTTTTACCGCATTATTTCCTGCTGCTATTTAGAGACCGGGTTTATCACGCTCTACACTCTTTGTCTGAGAAGAAATGTGTGTATCTGCTTTTCCCTCGCCAGTTCATATTTCTCCAGTTCACTGCTTTCCATTCCTTCCTCCTGTACACAGCCTCATGCAGACTCTGCAGAGCATCCTGGTGGGAGTGGAAGGGCAGAGCTCTGGTAGTTGCTGAGCCTTCCCTGCCTGCGAGACATGAGAGTTGCACAGAGAAGGCAAGACCTCCAAGGGGGATGACTTCACCTTTCCAAAAAGTCACATGAATTAGGCAATACGATTTTGCCCAAACCAGCAGCCATGACTTGACTATCAGGACCACTTTATTTCTCATTTCTTTAATAGGCAGCTTTTCTTCTTGAACACAGGCAGCTTAAAATTTGATGCCGAGACCACGCTGGATCACTCAGTTCAGTCTGATTTGATCTTGTCATCTTCTCTATGAACTGTCCCTACAATTTGAAACAGAAACATCATAGCTACATTAAATACCAATAAAATTATGTGCAAATACAAAGATTAACTCATTCTAACTTGATTTTTCACAACATGATCCCGTCCTCCTCATCCACATAAAAATTATTCAGCCGCAAAAGGCCCTTGAGCGTAACATGACATTTACAGCATCTCTGACTATTTCTTGTTTATTTCTCATAAATTTCCTTTGGTAATAACTTAGTCACTCAGCAACACTCTACAGCACACACATAGGTTACATGATCATCTCATATTTTATACAACACACGTTAAAGTAATTAATTTTCCCTGGCAAATGTCATACCATTTAGTTCATCGTTAGGAGCCAAATATTTGTGCAACGGTTTGTTACAAATATATGCACAACCACAGAACACTTCAGCTGCCTGGTATTTATTAAACGTAATTTAAAGGGACGTTGTCGAGGTTGTTACAGTCTCAACTTTCACGGTAGTTTTTGTATCAGTTCCCTTAACTATTCCCTTAAGTATTTGACCTCAACTCATTTATTTATTTGTCAACTAACCTTGCTACAGCATTTAGCACACAAAAACAAATATGGAGTGGAACGTGCTAGTGACCAGGTAATGTTGTGCCCTGGCACGGCAGAAGGGTTTCATCTCTCACTTAAACCTTCTTTATCCTTTAATTGACAAGATCTGGAGTTTACCCCATCTTTAAGGTAGAAACATAGAAAAATAGGTACCTCCTTCATAAAAAGGATTGATTTTAATCACAACTTCAAAATGAACTTCAGGTGAAGACATTTCTTTCTTTGCTAACACAGGTTGCCTCCAAAGAGAGACAAAACCCCATCAGGACAGCATCTCTAATTCCAAAGGATGGAAGGCAATATAGCCATGAAGCATCAGGAGCAGTTGCCTTGAAAAATACATTTTAAGGGCATGAAAAAACCTCTGATAGATGGTGAAGTCTGCTTCTCCCATCCCCTAAATTAGGTCTTACCCATACTCCTCATACACTGATACAAAAGCCCTTCAAAGTACATTTAAAGAGAGGGAGAGCAGCAGTGGAGCCTTGCAGAGAGAAATTGTGCTCAGAAACTCAACAGGCTGAACCAGACGGCTCCATTCCAGTTAACAGCCCAAAAAATCCTATTCCCCACAGATCACTTACTCTTCAGCACGTTCAATCAACAGGTTTGGAGAGGAGGACCCGACACTTTTCTCACTTATTTTGGCCTTCGATGAGAAAAGCATCAGTGGAGAAAAGAAGCAGAACTGAAGCGGTACAAGTGGGGGGCAGGAGGAAGCACAAACCCAGGAAAGCAGAAAGACAGGAGAAAGAAATATTGAGAAGACACAGCAGAGCAACAGCAGAGATGAGAGTGACAGGAACAGTGCAGCACCTCGGTGAGAGAGAGTTCTTTTAGGTTATTGTGCATAGATACCTTTATTCAAGGAAGACACGCTCGGGCTGGAGCAGGCAGAGAGAAAAGCAGAGCTGGGAGTTCAGAAGAAAGATGAACTATCACATAAGCAGTGTGCCAAAAAGTCTGGTTCACTAAACTTGGCCCAAAGCTGAAAGGAGATGTGATTGCTATCTGCAGCTACATAAGGAGGAGGCTTCGAACAGCAAAAAAGACACGTTATTCAAAGGACAGTGCCAAAACAAGGATCAAAAAGATCTGTTTCCCATGAATGCCTTTAGGCTGGAAGTTTGAATAAAGTCCTAATCAGCAAAGGGATTAGGTTTGGGGTAAACCTCAATTCCTAACTTATTCATAATTGACTGATTTCAGTCAGTTTTGAGAAGCTGGTATTGACCAAGACTTTTGATCCACACAGATGACCTAACTACCTTTAAGACAGAGCTTGATTAAGAAACAATTTCTGATGTGCTGCCTGCAATTGCAGTGTTCTCTGTGATGGAAGGGGATTACTGTTCTGTTATTATTCTGGCAGGCATCACCAGTTTTGAGACCACTGCTTAGAAAACCCAAAATGCACTTGCTGCTTTGATATCTAATAGTGCCTTAACTTTTTCCTATGGACAATGAGCTATCATATATTGAAGCAGAATGGATGAAATTCTCAAAGCAGCTTTGATCTGTCCTAGATCCTCAAAGCAGCCTGCAAGAATAGCTTGAAAGCTTTTTATTTAAAGTAAGTGGTATTTTCTCCCCTCTCATTTTAATTGAAATAGATGCTGAACGCAGGGGAAATTATATTGTAAGCTTGATCGTGGAAAGCAAGTATACTTCTAAACCAGCCTTGATCAATAGCAGTTTCTGGTAATTGACTGTAATCTCTCTATCTATTTACTGCCATGGGAATTTTAAAAATTGTTGGGTTTTTTTTTTTGTTGTTGTGTTATCCATCAGCTGAAAAGATTAAGCTTGAAAATGGAGGATGGGAAAAGAGGGAGGAATTGATCAGTCATGCAGCCTCATGGCGTATCCTCAAGGCAACTTGCAAGACTTGGAGAAATGCCGACAGAATTTTCCTAGGCACAAGGAAGAAGACTGGTAAGGCTGGCTGAACAGAGCCAGAGCTGGGGTTTTTTAGTGTCTTGAGGTGCCTCGTTGGCTGCATGAGAGACCTTTGACAATGGGCACGGAGAGACAGGCTACTGGCAGATGACACCGCTGAGGGAAGGGAGGGAAGGTGTATTGACATTTCTGTTGAACCAAACCCTTCAGTTTTGTCAGAAAGGCAGTGTGAGAGGAAAGTCAGGAAATGTTCATGACATGGATGGATTCACTCCCATTGACCTCCCAAAAAGGTCAGGAGTAAAGAAGTGCAACTCCCCATCCTGCAGTGCCTGACATTGTCATCAGGGGCCCAGACACCGTGGCTGAAGCGACAGCAGCACTTTCCTGACTTTCACGGGGCTGTCCAGGGGTGGCTGCCCTGTCAGGCTGTGAGAGAGTCACTGTGCCTCCCTGCCACAGGGGCTTTGTGTTCCCAAGGGATTTGTCTTCACCCCGGAATAGGTGTTATCTGGAGGGAGGGAGGGAGGAAGGCGCAGATGACGACCGAGCTCGAGGCCTCAGCTGCACTTTGATGTGGTTACGCTGCTGTGAGCGCCGCGCTCGTACCTTCCTCCCGTCGGTGTGTGAGCTGTGTTACATACCATGAGTTTTCCCCACTCTTCCCAGCAACCACTGCATGCTGTATTAAACGTGTGTCTACAGTTTAATTGCAAAAAAAAAGAAAAAAAAATCTGCATTCTGCTTCTGAATTAAATTAGAGGCTCTTCTGTCGGGTTCATTTTACTAGCGTGCCTGCATCTCAAATCAGCCCACATAAAGAGGGTGAAGAGGAACAGAGCAGCTACTCTGTATTGCAGATCTCACTGAATATATGCAGCGGGGGCAACTCAGAGGTATCTACCAGGCCCAGAATATTTCTTTTTCCGTGTACTTTCCAAAGTGTGGGGGACTTTAGGAAAGTGGCCCCTCATATTCTTCCTGATTTCAATGACGGGGAAGTCAGGCTGACTGCAAATATCCCTGAGAAGCTCACACCTTATGTAAATAAGAGCTGGGTATCAGATGAGTAGGAACTTCAAAACGCTTTAAACAGGCACAGCAAAGTGAAACAAGCCCACCAGGCTCGTTCTGTGAGACAGCAAACTTCTCCCGTCAAGTTTCCAGATGAGTTTGTGATGGTGTGATGGGATGGGGACAGAAGGGGAGGAAACTCAGCCTTCTGCACGGCCCCCAGCACCCAGGCTGTGCCAGGGAGGGTGAACCAACAGGGGTACTACAGCTCCCACCCTCATCCCTCGCCTCCTCAAGGGCCATGGCAGGTCTGAGCAAGGTGACTGATGTGCAAACATGCCTCATTAGGACAGCATGAATCGGAGTAATTGGCCGTGGAAAGGTCATTCCAGCTAAGGAAACCCTCCAGTGAGACCTGACTGCATTTAACTACTTTTCTGTTCTCCTGTCCCCCATGGCATCACCAGGAGAAAAATGTGACGGGCCATGAGCCATAGAAATTCACATTTTGCCTTCCTGGGGCAGCGGGGGCTGCAGGAATACTGCACCAAGCACTGTGTGGTACACGGCCAGTACAGATCTACAGCTGCAGAAGTGCCCAGTTTCCCCCATATGAGTTTTCTGGAGCACTCCATAGCTGCAGCCAAATACTGTGGTCTCAGCATTGTTTTCTGGCCACTGATTAAGTATCTTCGCAGGTTGTGTGTTCATTGACCGGCGAAATCAAAATGAATGAGGTAATAAAAGACATGGGAAAACATAAGGAATCAATATTTTTAAGGACTGTTCTGACTTTGTACAGCCCAGCCTTAACACGGTCTGTAAAATCAGTTCCAGGAAAAGGATGAAGTCACAGGTATGACAGAAACAGAGACATGTCTTCACAGACAAGTGACACTAAATTATGCTGATTTTAGTCAAACTTTCCTGGTCTCCTCATCTTTCTAAATTTTCCTATTCTAAACAGACACAAGTTGGAAGCAGAAGATCTGGTCTTCCACTCACACTAATGGACTAACAAGCCTGGAGCCGACAGAATTTGGTCAGAGTAAAAAACAGTATTTTTAAAAAAATTAAGCCTCTTTAGAAAGTTTTGCGTTGCTCATTTACCATTTGAACCCCCTACTCATTTCAAGTTTGCTAGTAAAACTCAATCCCAATACAAAGAGACTAGAATCTTTGTCTTTTTATCACAAAAACAGTGTTTTCCATATTTTTCCCAGCTTTAGTTTCCCCCCCTGCTTTCTCCCTCCTTTGAACTGCACAACTAACGCAGTCCTATGTACATCCACCACCATCATCTGCAGAGTAGTCAGAAGACACAGTTAATTTACTGCTGCCAGCTGCTTGCTGTTGTTGTCATTAACAATCTCCATTTAATAAAAAGCTTTTATCAAAATTGGTTTTCCTGGAGTACTTTTATTTTTCCCAGAAAAGGCATTAAAATTAATTTGTTTTCACTCGGTCTGTACTATTGAGCGAATACAGCAAGGAACAAAAAAGATAAACATGTGAGAGAAACCCCAAAGAGAAGGTAATGTAGAAAGAAGCAATTCTGTTCTAAAGTAGATTATACTCCTTTTTCCCCCCTCCTCTGCTTTTGAAAGCAAAAAATATGATTGAAGACCGGTAGAAAACAGCGAATTGTAGCAGTGCTTTGGTGCACAAGGGAGATGCTCCCCTTCTCCACAGCTCCCTGTGGCTCCTTTACTGGGTGAGGCAGAGGTAATACTGTGCAGAAAGGTTTGACCTGAAAGTTAGGGACAATTCACAGGATTTTCTGCTGGAAATGCACTGGACTCTTTGCTGGTGCTCTGCACTTCACTGACCTTCCTCCAGCAGCGATGCTCTTCCCTTTGCATGTTTTTCACACAGAGCCTCTGCCCGCACTACCTTGGAGCACCACTTTATTTTTGATATCACAAGGGTATTAAGACATTTCAACCACCCTGCTATGCAACGAGCCACAAAAAGTTAACATACCAATTCTGGAGGGTAAATGAAGTGAAAAGGGACACCAACTCCTCACTACTGTGTTTTCATGATGGTTAGTTACTGACCCAAATGAGAAGCTGTGCCATTAGTTCTAAGAGGCCTGTGGGGATTCTGCATGAAGCTGCAGCAAGGCTAGTTCATTCATCTCAGAGAGATAGATCCTTCCTTCCTTCCTTCCTTCTTCCTTTCCTTCCTTCCTCCCTCCCTCCCTTCCCCATTTCAAATTTCTGGAAAAAAAAAAAAAAACCAAAATCAAAAACCAACCAAGCAAAAAAACCCAAAGAATTTCCCCTGAAATCACAGGTTTTGAAATCAGAATATTTTTGGCTAAATACCAATTCAGGGAACTGGGAACTGTACAGGGAGTCCCTCCCAGGCTCATTCAGACTGAACACATCACCCATGCTGTTCCATGAGCCTCTGATTCAGGGAGGAGGGATGATATGTTATGGGAATTTCATGGTCTGATGCATCATAGAGTATGAAATATGGCATGGGAGATCCACTCCATCTATGAGAATAAGGACATTAAGCAACTGAAGTACAGCTCCTCTGAGACAGTAGATCAGAATTGGAATATTTGGGTTTAAGCTGCTTTATCCATAAACTCATTTTTCTGTAAAAAGCAGTTCTAACTAAAAAAAAATATATTAATGAACAGCTTTATGTAAAATGGAGGAACATAACATAGCATGGTTGCTGTTCTCTGGAACTGGCTTTGGAAATGATCTGGAATGCACCCTCCCTTATTACCAAGGAAAATGTTACTTCCATTAAAGAAAGAAACAAACCTTCCCCCCACAAGCCATCCGTGAGAAACTCTCAGTGTATTTTCTGTTTGAAATTTAAATTTGAGCATAATACCACCCACTTCACGAAATGAATGTGATTAAAATGACGGTTCCTCTTATTTTCAATTAAAATACATTTTAAATGTTTACCTTTCTGCACTAAATGCAAATGCAGATGCTCAACGCAGCACTGGGAAACCAGAAGGTGGAAACCCACTGACCCAGTTTCACCGTCCCGGTGGACTAAAAATGCAAAAAAAACCAAAGGAAAAGCTGTAAAAGCATCCCACACCCCCCTCCCCCAAGCCCACCAGGGCCTCAGAGCAAAATGTGCTGTGTAACAGTCACAAAACGAAAAACATCAAAAATTAATTGGTGCAGAAAACAGCAAATGAGGTGGGATTTGCCCCATCCGTGACCCCAGTTCCAGAGGTACTGGGGGGGGACCATGTCCAGCCAGGTCACTGCGCTTTACCAGGTGGGAGAGAGCGATGGGACAAGACAAGGTTTTGGGACTGAGGCACATTTTCACAAAATCGCAGAATCACTTAGGTTGGAAAAGACCTCTGAGATCATCCAGTCCAACCTTTGACCCATCACCCCACAGCACTAAGTGCCACATCCAGGCATTCCCTGAACATCCCCAGGGATGGTGAATCCACCACCTCCCTGGGCAGCCCCTTCCAATGTTTGACAACCCTCCCAGTGAAGAAATTCCTCCTCATGTCCAATCTAAACTTCCCCCGGCACAGCTTTAGGCCATTTCCTCTTGTGCTGTTGCTGATTACCTGGGAGAAGAGACCAGCCCCCATCTGACCCCCACCTCATTTCAGGCAGTTGTAGAGAGCAATAAGGTCACCCCAGAGCCCCCTTTTCTCCAAATTTTCAGAGATTCCTGATGAAAATGGCCATGAATTGTGAAAAATTAAATAAATGGATTTAGCATGCAATAGTGTTGGATTTAGTATGTATTTAGCATTCAGTAAATAATAATGTATAAAAACCAATATATATATAAAAAAATATGCTACATATAACAATGTATAATAAATAATACATTATATATAATGTATTATATATAATTTTTATGATAACATGTATAATATATAAATAGTATATATTATTGTATATAATATAAAAATAGCAATATATATTATATATTATTGTGCAACATAGATAATAAATAATATATAAAATATTTACATATAAAGATAAAATATCATATACACTATGCATAATATACATTTATATATTATAGATATATAATTTATATATTCTATACGTATATATAAAATATATATATAATATATAATATATAATATATGCATATATGAAATAGATATTTTATATTTGTTATAATATATAATACATAATATGTAATACATATTTCATAAATGTGTATATATGCTTATATGTGTATATATATGTATATATATGGATATATATATGGATATATATATGAAAAATGTATCATATATAATATATAATATATATTTATTACTATGTATTTACTATCTAATCAATTAATATTAGATATTATATATTAATATATTTAATATATAATATAGAACTATAATATTATATGTAATATATATAATATATATAATATATTAGATATAATATATAATGTATTATATATTATATATTACATATATTTTAGATACGATATATATTTTATATATGTGTATATATTTTATATATGTATATATTATATATAAAAATATATTTTATATATTATAGAATGTATTTAGTTCTCCTTCGCCCCGAAGGGTCGCTAACCCTGACTCAGCCCCGCTCCCGTTCTGGGCCCATCCCTGCCGCTCCCCCCGCACTGCCGCGGTTCCTGAGGATGAGGACGGCCGGGCACTGCCCCGCTCCATCCCCCCATCCCTCCATCCCTGCTGCATCCCGGGGATCGGACCTGGACGAGCCCCCGCGGCCCCCGCGCTCCGCTCCCCGCCCCGTGACGTCACACCCACCGTGACGTCACGGGCCGTATCCAGGCAACGGCGCCCTAGCGGGTCGGGGCGGCCATGGCGCTGCCGCTGCTGCCCGGCTTCTCCTTCCGCCGCAACGTGAGTGACGGCCCGGGGCAGGCCCCTTCCCCGCCTCCCCGCCCGGCCCCGGCGCAGGGGCGGCCGCGGGGGCGCTGCCGGAGGCGGCCCGGCCATGGCGAGGCCTTTGCCCGTGTCCCGGCCCGGCAGGTGCCGGTGGGTGCGCTGAGCGCCGCCGGGCTCGGTGCGGATGCTGTGCAGCAGCACGGAGGGGTCTCGGTGTTAAACAGCGCCGGAGGGGTTTAGGTTGGACATCAGGAAGAATCTCTTCACAGAAGGGGTGATTAGACGGTGGAAGTGACTGCCCAGGGAGGTGGTGGAGTTGCCGTCCTTGGCGGTGTTTAAGGGAAGGCTGGATGTGGCACTCAGTGACATGGGCTGGTTGAGGAGCGGCCGAGGGAGCTGGGGGTGTTCAGCCTGGAGATGAGGAGGCTCAGCGATGACCTTATCACTCTCTACAACTACCTGAAAGGAGGTTGTAGCCAGGTGGAGCCTCTTCTCCCAATCAGCCAGCGACAGGACAGGAGGACAGTCTTAAGCTGGGCCAGGGAAAATTTAGATTGGACATCAGGAAGAATTTCCTCACAGAAAAGGTGATTAGATATTGGAAGGGGCTGCCCATGGAGGTGGTGGAGTCACCGTCCCTGGAGTGTTCAAGGGAAGGCTGTACCTGGCACTCAGTGACATGGTCTAGTTGAGTTGGTGGCGAACAGTCGTGGGTTGGACTTGATGATCTCAGGGGTCTTTTCCAACCTAATAGATTCTATGATCTGGCAGCTGCTGTGGGGCACTTGGATCTCTTGTTGGATCTCTAACAGAGCAAAATGGAGAGACACATACTTTCTCTACAAAGGAAAAAGTCTTTGCAGAGTGTGGTGATGCCAGGGATGCTGATGTGGTGTTTCAGAACTGCCAACACTGTTAGTGCCAATGGCAGGCTGAATAGATAAGATGGTGTTTTCATCATAGCAAACAAAATGCTATGTCCTATGAGGAGTAGCTGAGGGAGCTGGGGGTGTTTAACCTGGAGAAGAGGAGGCTCAAGGGTGACCTTATCCCTCCCCACTACTCAGTGAAAGGAGGTTGTAGCCAGGTGGACTCGACCTCTTCTCCCAGTCAGCCAGCAACAGTACAAGAGGACACAGTCTTAAGCTAGGCCAGGGAGGGCTTAGGTTGGACATTAGGAAGAATTTCTTCATAGAACAGGTGATTAAACATTGGAATGGGCTGCCCGAGGAAGTGGTGGTGTCACTGTTCCTGGAGGTGTTTGAGGAAGGACTGGACGTGTCACTCAGTGCCATGGTCTGATTGACAAGATGGTGATTGGTCAAAGGTTGGACTTCTTGACCTCAGAGGTCTTCTCCAGCCTAATTAATTGTGCCATTCTGTGATCTGGCAGCTGCTGTGGGGCAGTTTGAGCACTTTTTGCATCTCTAACAGAGCAAACCAGGGAGAGACAGGTATCCTCTGCATAAACCAAAGTCTTTGCAGAGCAGGGGAATGCCATGGATGCAAACACGGTGTTTCAGAGTTGCCAATGCTATTAATACCAATGGCAGGCTGAATAGATAAGAGGGTATTTTTAGCCTAGCAAACAAAAGAGATGGCTGCCATCACTACTTCAAACTTGTTCATCATGGATAGCTAGAAATTTGCTGAACACAATCTGTACTGTGAAGCAGTGCAGGGAGTAAAGGGAGGATTCATGCACAGCACTGTAGTTGGTGCTTTCAGGAGGCAAACTAAACTGCAGACTTTCTTAATAATGCTAAAATATCTGGAAGGAAATCTGTTGTTTTCACACTGTGAGCATGTTGTGGCCAAGGTTGCCCAGATAACTTGTGGATGCCTCATCCCTGGAATTGTTCAAGGACGAGTTGGATGTGGCTCTGAGCAACCTGGTCTAGTGGAAGGTGTCCCTCCCCATGGAACTGGGAAGTCTTTAAGGTCTCTTCCAACCCAGACCATTACATGACTCTCTGATAGAACCCTCATTTCTGTATCCTGAATGCTGGGGTGTTTTGCCAGCTCCTGAGTCTGACCACCCTATGAGGGAGTATATGGAAGGTGATTATGTAGTTCAGGAACAATTTGCAAATGATTTGTCAAGACAGGTTTTAATGCCAGTGGTACCACAAACATCAGTACCCCTTCAATATGAGGCATGAAATTCCTTAGGAATTTGTGGACTCCCAGCCTCACTCGGTGTGTCAGCGCTGCACAGGTGTGTGCAAACACAGGACTTCTTACAAGAGGAGCCCAGTGGGGATTTTTCAGGAAACTCCTTCCCCCTGGAAAGAGCAGGCTGGGTGCTGTTGTTTTAGAAACAAAAAAAAAAAACAAACCAAAAACAGACCTGGTGGTGAATACTCAAGTCTCTCTTGTTGAATTGGAATTTGTATTGTAAAGGGTTGGTTGTGTGTATAGCGCTCGAGGTGGTTGCCGAGTACGCCTGTCAACAACACTGAAATAGGTGTGTGCCACTGGTGCCTGCTGGGTGGAAGCAGCTCAGTGTTATCCATGACCTTATTGGTCTCCAAATTTCAATTTAACTTAATTAATTTAATTTAACTTTACATGCTTGGGAAGAGTTACTTATAGAGAGTGTTGGACACCCCATGTTGAAGTGCATACAGTGACTATGTTATGAGAACTGAAGGTGTGAAAGCTGTCACAATTGCCACAAGACAGGATTGTAAAACCATGGTTATACCCTTGTTAGGGCTCCAGATTGCTCTTTTCATCAGTCCTTGAGATAGTGGAGTTAATAATTATAACTCACCTTTATTGAAAAGCATCTCTTGATCTCCACTTAGTTGTTGTTGGCTATTAGATTTAATTTTACTTTCATATAGCTCCACAAATGAGATGCTGAGAACAGCATATAAAGGGGAAAAAAGTGTCACTGCTATAGATAAATTGAAAAGGAAGAAAGTGTTTTCACCTGTTAGGACTCTGAGCATCACCACCACTGTCTCTTATTGGGCAGAAAAAACAGTGGCAGAGCATTCCTTGAAGAAGGATTCATAGAGGACAGGGGATTGCTGTTCCTGTCAGCCCTCGGGTTATAATTGTGGGTATTAATTCCACCCATCACTGGTGGAATTCAAGCCACTTGTACAACCCTCTTGTCTCTGCACCTAATGCTTCCACCTGCCTTATCTGTAGGCCCAGGAGAGGCAGCAGAAGGGAAGCACATACATGTTTTGTCTGCCTTGGATGTGTTTAATAAAGTGGCTGAGCTCCCTCTGAATAATCAGAGCTTTAAGGCAGTGAGGGCCGCAGTCTGACTCCGAGGCATCAGGATGACAGTGACAAATGGGGAGTGAGAAATCTTTTCACAGCGCTTAGTTCTCTGGATCTAAGAGCCTCTGGCCTTTATATTACCCTCCAGTATGATCATTGTTACTTCTAGCTTGCTTTACCAGGAATGCTGACTCCTCTCTGCACTCAGGAGCAGAGACGCTTCCTCTCCGACCGGGAGTGAGGGCAGTGAGGCTGGGCAGCTCTCAGCTGCCTGTGGTGCTGGCACAGTGAAAGGCAGCATCTTCTGCCCGGTTTTCCCCATTTTTCCCTCCCTCAGCTGCAAGTGACAGCTGCCCAATTCAGCAGCATCCCAGAGAACGATGCTGCCGCTGCATTTCCACATAGCTGGGACAAAATCTTGCTGCTCGGGCATCACAGCTGGTGCAACTGGAGGGAAAGTCAGGGAGGTGATAGGTGCTTCTAGAACTGATGGAGTGGTTCCTATGGGAACATAAGGTAATGTTTCCTTTGTGCTAAACGAAGAGCAGGGATGAAAGCTTCGGGCACAGCCCAGGCAGTGCTGTGTTTGATTGTTGGTTCGATGGCCTGGAGAAGAATGACGGCAGAAGGTGTCAGGAGCTTAAAATATTTAATGTCTGCAAAGAGAGGCAAAGGAACCACCTCTATTTTTTCAAATATCTTTAAAATCAAAATTACAGTATTTTGTGTACACTTAAGTCCATCCATCAAATAAACACTCTTCAGCTCTTTTAAAACTCCTGTTCCTTTCCCCTTTGCTGAGGCTGGGGAGGTCAGAGTCAGTGTTGGGAGTGCCCCTGTCTAGTGCTCCTCTGTCCTGGCAAATGCCTTAGACAAATGCCCTCGTTGGTCTGGTAGTGGCAGGGTGTGGTACTTACCCAACATTTACCACCCTGTTGCATTCAAGAGTTTATTAATTTCTTTATTTTCACGAGTGTGTGGGTTACTCGTTTGGAAATTTCTACCTGTTGCATCCCCTTGAAAAGGGAAATTCCTCAGTTATTTTCTTTTGTACCTGGTTTTGAAGCCAATGTTTAAAAGTCTTGGGGAGACCTTGGTACTGCCTGCAGAGCCCAACTGGTATTGAAATTGTGCAATGATGACATTTTCAGCTTTGTGCATACAAGGTCTATGTGTGTTGCCTGTTTGTCAGGATAGATTTTGGTAACCGTGTTTAATTCTGCATTCAGTGGAAATGCAGCATATAATAGGTTTCCTCTGTTACTGTGAGAAGAAGTTTGTGCGTTTGGAGCCTGGACCATGTTAGGGATGACACTGGTTACAACACAAGTACTAACTTTGTTAGTGTTCCTGGTCTGCCTCCCATTCTCAAAGGCAGCTGCTCCTTCTGATTCCAGACTGATGTCCTTGCCTTATGTCAGCAGCCAGTGGACAGGACCACATATTCACATGGGTCAGATTGGACCAGTGTATTTTCTTGCCTGAGGTCTGAAATCCCTCTCAGAGAGAGAATTTCGTGCAACAATTCTGCATGGCATTTCTTAGAGAATAAGCCAATAAGTTTATAGATCTCAGGGGAAAGTACATCCTTGAAAATACCAGTTTTGGGTATTTCTGTTGCAAACTTCAGCGGTGCAGCAGAGATTCCGCTTCTTCCTTGTTTATTGCAGGAGCTTGGAATTGCCCTCAACTGTGCTACTGTTGCTGTCTCTCTTTTTCCTGGTTTATTTTGTGCTGCTCTGTTACTACTGGCACCAAAAAGGGACACTTCTTTTTCTTGACAGAACATTTGCCAGCTTCTTTATAAGTAATCCTGCCTGCTGTCCCTTTGTCTTTTCCTGAA